ACAGCCCGTCCTTCCCTTGGAAATGAAATTGTCTCGCGTGATTACATAATTCCTTCGCTATTAGATCGTATGGCCGAATTCCGATCACGATCAATATAATAGCGGTATTTAGAAATTTCTGTTCGTGTGCGTACCGTATTTGTATTTCTTCGCTCGGGACTCTTATGAGTCGACTGTGCGGCTGGCGGCTTAAGAGATTAACTATTGTCTTCGCATTTCTTCTATTTGATGTTTCGAATTCCCGGAACATCAAATTCCAGCGATTGACGATACCGTCAATCCTCCAGGAATAAATTGCGAAGTTTCTAGAAGTGCAGGTAACTCATGCGGAACCTTCTTTTTCAATCTCAACTTTTTAACACATGTCAAAGAAATAAAATTTACCGGCATAACAAACGAGTACCTGAACAAATAGAAATTCCGAAAGGTAGATTCGAACATGTACATATAGATTTAGTGGTCCTGTTGCGGATTTTTCGGCTTTCCGCAAGCCTCCCTGATGGACGGGGTCGGATAGCTAATATCAATGCGGTATCACAACACAGAACATTTATTTTAAGCTAATCAGCTCGTTGTCAATTACACAGTGCGCGCGGACAATTACCAATTATACAATTTACAAGCTTCGTCCATTAAATAGCGATCTGGTGAACGTGAACATTGGTGGTCAAATCGTGCGTCACAGAAACTATGTTCTGCACGTGGCCGTTACACGAGTTGAACTACACGTCGGTCTTAGCGTGATCTATTCGTGAATTCGTGATCTTCCGTGATTAATCGATCAAACCGATACTATTTATCGAACACGTGGTCTGTTCTACGATTATATTAATCGCGAACTTTGTTTCCGAATAGGAAAGCGCGAGCTAAATTACGACACGTCTCTATTTCACAACGATTAGTAACGGACTCATGCCGGTCTGTCGCCAACCGGCAGTTTCTTGGTTCTTCTTACTGGCGGCGCTGTCGATGCGCGATCGGAAGGGCGTCGACTTCGCGCACATTCGAGATTATTCTCGAACAGGTCCGTTACCGCCGATAAATGGTTTTCGTTATTGTTTAACTGCAATAGATAGATTTTCCAGATGGCCTGACGCGATACCAATCACCGATATCTCTGCTGAGAAAGTAGCAGACGCATTTTACGCGGGTTGGTTATCAAGATTTGGAACCCCTGTCACGATTACAACTGACCAAGGATCTCAGTTCGAATCTCAATTATTTAAAGCATTAGCAAAGTTAATGGGTTTTGAGAGACAACGAACTACTGCCTACCATCCCCAATCAAATTTGAAAGATGGCACAGGTCAGTAAAAACAGCGATAATGTGTCACAAGAAAGCTAATTGGTTGGAAGTTTTGCCAACGGTCATGTTAGGACTTAGAGCTAGCTTTAAAGAGGCTATTAAAGCCTCACCAGCAGAGATGGTATACGGTTCACACATCAGGTTACCTGGAGAATTTTTCATTAGCGAAGAACCGAATGCGGATCCAGAAATATTCTTAAATAAGTTTA